TAAATTTTTCCTCCTCCAGACATGTGGCACAATCAATATGTTTCGTCTTTGATTAGGATGAATAGCTGATTTCGTCTTACTTAGAGACGAAACATTGTGATTGAGTCACGTGTCGGCGAAGTAACGATAACCGCATCTCTCCCTTCCCTTCTTCCCTTCCGCATTTGCAAACGAGGAAACCTCCATTTTTTCCGTTCAGCGACCTTGGGTATCATTTTTTGATCTTTTTAGCTTGATTTCTGAGTGAGGATCGTCATCCCTTGCAGAATCGTGTCCAGATTTGCTTGATTTGCAATCAGTGAAGGTATTTTTGGATTGAAATTTGGAGGAGGTTGGGAGAACAGTAATATACTACACAGTCGTTGTTAAAAGACAAGATCAGTAGAAGGAGGTCGTCGGAGAGACGGCGCCGTCCAGACAACTTGCTGCTATCCCAGGAAACTCTCAGTCGCCAGAAAACGCCATCTCCATAGCCTGAAATCTACAACCCAGGTATTTCCATTTTCAATATAATTATTTTGTATATTTTTTATAAATAAAAAAACTTGTAATGTAATATTTTGATTAAAAATTTTAGAAAAAAATAAATTGATTAAAGAGAGAAATTTTAATTGTAAAATTAATATTAAAAATAGAAATTTTAGAACTAAATTTATTACATTTTTAGCTTGTAGAAAAAATCTGATAGTAATATTTAGATTAAAAATATAATAAAAATAATTTTTATAATTTTATAGAAATTAAAAAATAAACAACATTTGTAAAATTAAATACTGATAGTGATATTTATATTAAAAATTAAGCTTGCATTTAGAATTATTTTACTAAATTGAGGTGTAAATTAAAAGATAACTTAAAAATAATTTTAAAAAATATTAAATAGTTAAATAAAATTTAGAATAGAAAATTAGAAAATAATTGTATCAAATTGGTTGATTAATTATATAACAAATGATAATTAGAAAATAGTGTATAAAACTTATAACATAAATTCTATTTTTTATATTAATTATGAATAAAATATGTAAATAGATATATTTATTTATAATTAAAGAACAAATTTAGATAATTACAAAAAAAAAAGTTATAGTTAAAATTGAAAGTATTAAAATTGACAACACTAATATATATTAAAATTGTTGTACTAAATATTTGAGTTTATAAATAATTGCAACAAAAAAATATAATTAATATTGGTTAATTATGATGAAATCAAAAATTTAATGAATTGTTTAGCACTTGAATCAACCATAAAACGAGAAATTATTCTAGATATAACATAATTATTATTAAGATTCAACTTGTCATAAATCTTTTTCTTTAAATTCATATAACTTATTCCTCTTTTTATCTTTATCATTTTTTTGTTACCTTCAAATGTCATTCATCCTATATTTATAAAAAAAAACATATCAATAATTATTTGCAATTATACTTATTTATAAAAAAAAAACATATCGATACAATTTTACTTATTTATATAAATAATATAAATAAATTATTTGTAACACACAAACATATTATTATTATTTACATCATTTTATATTATAAAAAATATAATATTTTTAATACATATTCCACATATATAAAATAAAATATTCACAATAAATATAACATTATTTTTTTAATTAAACAAATTTATATTAAATATCTACTAACTTTTATATTTTTAATAATTATCTAAAATGTTAATTTTTAATTTCAATATACACAAAAATATGGGTATTAAATATTCATAAATTTTAACAATTTCTATTTATAATAATTAAAACTTTTTAATAACAAAAAATTAGAAAAAGTTTTAAATATTACTAACCTCAAAAAATTTTCCAATCTCCAAACGTTTAGGAATCCTTTCACTTTCATGGTGATTTAGATGTCCACATTTTACACATTATATAGTAAAATTTGGCTGGATAAAAGGGTGCAGCAGAAGGGAGGGACCAGTGGGTAAAAAGAGTTTTGTCTGAAGTATAGTCGAAATGACACGCTTTAATGCAAGCCAAATGACATGCTTTTTGTCTTAAATGCAGGCAAAATGAGTGTCCTTTTCATCTCATTTGTGGACGAAATAATTACATTTAAACACGTGTCTAGATCCTATGCTTTCATCTTGAATTGAGATAAATTACTAATATCTTGACACATATCGATTGTTTCGTCTCTCATGTATACGAATTGACTCACAGATGTCAACATGCAGTATATTTCATCCCTCTTTTAAACGAAATGATTAAATTTAAAATAAAAAAATTAATTTCATTCGATTAATATACGAAATACATGCTGAAGTGGCAAAAAAAAACTCTAGACAAAAAATAAATTTTAATTTTATTTTATTTTGATAATTATTTTTTAAAAAAGTATTATTTTAATCATTAAGCTTTGGTATGTTTCTCTATTTAAATATTTTTTGTATCATTTTAATTTTTGTTGTCCTAAAAACACTTGCTTCGTAAACTGCATAAATTCTATTGAACCATAAGGAGAAGTTAATGGACATTGAAAAGGAGAAATGAAAAGTACAAAGTAGGGTTGACTTTTTTTTTTCTTTCTTGTAAAAATGCTTTTGAAAATTTTTTGTTAACACGCGCAGAGAAATGATAATATTGATGCTAAAAGCAAACTAACCCTGTCACTTTCATATTTGCCTTTGTTGAAGTCCATAGGAAAGAAGTCTAGTTTTATTTTCTCATGTATATCTTTTATTTATTTATTTAAACTTATTGAAAGCAATGTGTTTCAACCGTGTGTATGACTATTATTAGTTTATTGTTACAATATTAACTTTTTATATTTTATAATAAAAAATACACATTTCAATAAATATCTATTTTGATAAATATTTCAATTATATTTAATGATTCAAAATTAAGTTATATAAAAATCAAATTTACTCAACTTTAAAATAAATAATTTAATAATTTTTAAAAAAATAAAAGTAAAAATTGATGACTAATATATAATATTAATGAGTTTAGATGACAAGTACAAGTATATTTACCGTGATCAATAATTAAAATATAAGTGTGAGAGGTCTAAGTAAAAAACCTCACAATAAGTAGATACTACAATACAACCTCAAAACTTTAAAACATTAAATACATGAGTTCATCTTTCTAGCTCATATTTTATTCTATGTGCGATTAATTTACACTTAATTCTAACATGAAATTCACTATCATTTTCCTCTGTTGAGATCTTTGAGCCTTTATAATTGGCCAGCAGAAGTGCAAATTTTTACTGCACTCACCATTGTTGAGTTTGGATAATTCAGATGGCGATATGTCAGTCAAGCACTTGCACTACATGCGTCTCTTGTTCATAACTCAACCTTGGAATCCAAATCCTCATTCAATGAATTTTCATTAGTCAAATCCTTTGATTGAATATGGGATTGCATTTGTTCTTGATCATCCCCTAAGATTCGTGTAGTGAATCTTCCACCCTCAAAATCAGGGTCTGGCCAGTGGCCACTATTAATCATCACCAAAGATAAAGTTTCAGAGAAAACACTCCATAAAGTGCCCTCAGTTTTCCTTTCATGTCTATTTGTTGGGTTAGTGGACTGGGAAGGGGCTGCATATTCTTAAACAATTCACTTTGACAAGACATCTACATCACAAATTAAAACAATCATTCTTCGGCCTTTGTTTATGATCTTACTTATTTTTTTGTAACATTGTATCAAAGAACGTGTTGACTAAGGTAACATGGTTAGATTGTTCGTTACACCTCCATCTTATGTAGTTTCAATATACAGTAATCATTACCATGTGCTGGGCTTTCAAGCCAAATTTGGACTGAAAAAACAATTCAACCTTTCTAAACAACTTAATCTTTTTGAAGTAATGATTCTTTCAAAGGTTTAAGGAGTGATCAACTAAACCTCTTACCTGATCCAAGTTAGCTTTAGACTATTTGGATTCTTGTTGAGTGTTTCATAGAAAACTCTAAGATTATCTCCAGCTGCAGCCTCTTGGAACTTCTTTAGATCAACAACATATAAAGCACTGAAAAGAGAAATTGAAACAGTAAGCAAAGAAAATATATTAGACTCCAAAAACAAATCGAATATTGCATTCCTGATGACAAATACTATACGTCCAACTAAATATGAAAAACATAAATACTTTATAACAACGAATCCAAGCAACATACTTTCTAATATATTCTTCTTTAACGCATCTTTAACTGTTATCTAAAATTTATTAAAAATTGAAAATATTATATGGGACTTCCTTTTTAAGAATGTCTTTCGAACATTACTCGCTGTGAGTCTTGGATTTGTAATGTTTGTTTAAAAGATGGTGCTTGAGTAAACTTGCAAAAAAATTGAACGTCCAGAATTTCCCATTAATTAGACACTAAAACCCAAAATTGTACCCTGCCATGGAACCCCAAATCTCTTTATGCTACCGCATAGCAGAGTAATGGACGAAAGTTAACATCCTAGTTAAAAAAACTCATTGAATTCCACCATTCCATGCAATCTGATGAAGTGGGTTTCAGAATTGTTGTTCCATTTGAAAATGCGAGAGATAGGAAGAGTTTAGAATGTTTGGGCACTTCGATGACTCGAAAGTTTTAGGAAAGAGACAACCCAAGAAAGATACAAAGAGAGAGAAATGATAAATATATATATATATATATATTTTTTTACAAATAAATTCCCTGTTCTACGTATAAAAAAACTAGAACAGGAAGAGATGCTCAAGAACACCAAATAAGTTCCCTAGTGCTGTGGGAACACACAGTGTGAATTGATCGTGAAAAAAGAAGCAGCAGCAATCATAATAATATGTTAAGGATTAGTTGGTAACTTTCTGTTGCTGTGGAACAACCTGCAAAATTTGTGTAAGGACATTCTTGTCTAAAATTACAAGAATATTCCTTATTTTGTAATGAGTTTTTGCTAACAAGAGGCGCTTCTCCATGGTGTGTGCTCCAAGTGTTCTTGTCAAATTCTTCAAGGATTGGAGTCTAAAACAGTTAACATCTCATAAGCTTTTGAACCCACATTCTGAGCTCATCCCAGAGCAATCACCATTGTAATACACATAGTGACCAAGAGTCACTGGCCTATCAGGAATTGGTGGAACCTCAATGTCCCCTTCTAACATCTTCAAAGCATTCAAAATTGTTGGCCTTGAACTAACCATTACATGAGAACAAAGAACTCCAACAAGCAAAAATCTCTCCATTATGTTTCTAACAGTATTTCCATCTATTAACATAGAAGCATCCAAAGCCTCTTCTATGTTTCCAGATTTCATTAGTGACCAAACCCAATCTGTGATCAAGAAAACAGGTGCTCCTGATGAAGACAACTCAAGAGCTTTTCTTCCACACATTATCTCCAAAACTACCACACCAAAGCTATACACATCACTCTTCTCAGTCAGCTGACCATAAAGTGCATATTCTGGAGCCAAATATCCACGAGTTCCAGCTACTCGTGTGTTTAGATTAGACCTACTTTCACTGCTTTCCTTGGCTAGCCCAAAATCTGCAACCTTTGCCCTCATATCTGCATCAAGTAGTATATTGGTGGCTTTGATGTCTCTGTGATAAATTGCGGGTTTAACTCCAAAGTGCAAATAAAGCAACGCATTTGCCACATCCAAGATTATGCTTCTTCTTTGAGGCCAACTTAGTGATTTCTTTATATTTTGACCATCCAATATGGTTGAAAAGAGATGGTCTTCAAGGCTACCATTTGGCATATAATCCTGAACAAGATACCTTCTGATTTCAAGATTATCATTAACCACACAACACCCTCTTAATGGTACCAGATTACGGTGCTTCAAGTTGCTAACAATCTCCACCTCACTGTAGGACTCATCTCCTTGAGAATCAAATTCCTCAATCCCTTTAATTGCAACCATTGTGCCATCAGGTAGAATGCCTTTGTAAACTGATCCAAACCCACCTCTGCCAATGAAGTTCTCGGCTGAAAAATTGTCAGTGGCCTTCACAAGGTCCTCAAACTTGAACCAAATTAGCCCTGTATTTGGTCTCAATCTTAGGCTAGACCCTCGTTCCTGTGGATCAGCATAGGCTAGCAAATTTTCAACATTTTTCCTCTTCAACCACAAGGTGTACCAAAAGTACAATCCTAACACAATAATAACCAGGAATGCAAGTGTAGCTGCAGTTAACCCACATACAAGATCACGATGGCCGTTTCTCGAACCCGCTTGAGAACTAATTGACAATTCAAAAATACAAGGCATGGTACCTTTGCTTTCAGGTCCAAGATCATTCACAATTCCAGCAATATAAAGTATTGTGAAATAAAAGCAATTTTCAGAATGTGAAGTATTTCCATCAATAGAATTCAGCATCTGTACAACCTTGAGTCCTTCATCCACACATGCAGCACAATTGGTAAGATCACTAAGGTCTGGTTTACATGCAGTGTTTAACAGCGGTGTAGGACCAAGCCTACTTTGCCAATCTTGCTTATATTGAATATGAGCACAGATATTGGGAGTGATGACAAATTGAAGAGGATCAAAGCAAGAGGACACAATGTTATTGGGAAGTGAAAGGGAAGTGAGTTTGGATTGGAAATCTTGAAGGCAAGATGCGGAGGTAGTGATGTTAGGAAGTTGGAAAAGAGAGTTTTTCTTGAGGTTTTCTGCAAGTGCTATGCCAAAGAGGGATAACAAAGTTTGGCAACAAAGAATTGTGTGTGTTTGGTTTAAGTTAAGGCAGCTAGAGGGGTTCCAAGGTACTGTTAGCACATAATTCATGGTCACTGGGCATGTTGAATTGTTGCTAAAGGGAGAGGGAGCTGCTGAGCCTGGATTTGATGCCACAACAAAGATCACAAGAAGCACAAAAATGGACTCCATGTTTTTTACTTTTAAAGTTGGAGATTTTCTTTCTATTTATGCATGCGTGGAATCTGCTACGAGAATATGGTTTTGACTTTGGAAACATGAAGAAAACTCTCTAGTAGAAAATAAAGGATACGGTGGTTGATGTAATAGAAGAAGATTAGAAAGGTACAAAGAGAATATGAACAAAAAGTGAATACAAAATATAAATGTAAATATGTATTAGTTGGCACCATAATTATCATATAATATGCCTGAAAGCATATTGATAGGTGCATTTTCAACCATAATCTACACTGTCATATTGGTTGGTTGGAAAAAGTGGATTGATTAAGCACAAAATACAACTATGCAATGGGCTTTCTGGAATGTCAAGGTCCTCCCTTGCGGACCCAGGGGCGCCAACCCATAGTTATACTCTTCTTCGCGCTTTTTTTTTCCTACTAAAATGTGTGTTTATTGTTATTTTAAAATAATTATTGTTACTTTTATTTAAAATATTTTTTATAAATATATTAATAGTTAGAGTATTTTATATAAAAAAATTAAATAAAAATAACAATAAAATATAATATGTTTAAGAAATAAAAAATTGAAGTTAAAGACGTATTTTTAAGGCTAAATATTTTAGAATGATATTGTTTAAAAGTTTAATAAAGTTCATTTAAATATGATTAGAATGTATAATTAAATTAATTTTAATCACATATTTTATATTAAAATATATATCATGCTACGAAGAATTAATTATTATAATTTAACGACTGAACACTTTTTTATCCTTGAAGAAACAAAATTTGTAAGGCAAACACTCCATGTCCAGTTAAATGTCATTTCATAAAATAAAATATCTTTATTAGATTTATTGAATGTGATATATACTATTAAATATATGAATTTTCATATCAACAGATTTATTTTAAAAAATTATTATTAAAATCAATTATTAAAAAACCTGACACTTGAAAATGTAAGTATAAATTTTATTATTTAGAAAAGATAAGTTTATAAAACATATTTTAAAATAACGAATTTCAAATGCATATTAATATAATACATATTAATTAATAAACATATAAAAATATACTCTCAATAGTTTTTATTTTAAATATGTTATTATGAGTTACTTAAAGTTTATATACATAAATATATTAAAAATATTCTTATTTTAGCTATTATTGTTCATAAACTGTATTTTAAAGTAAAAATTCAAACACAAATTAATATGTTAACAATTTAATTTAACCAATTTTTTACTCATTGCACTTTTATTCTATACATTCAATTATATAAATTGAATTTTAGTTATTGCAAATAATGAATTGAAAAGCTAACCAAAAAAAAAGCGGCATGGAAAATTTTGTTCAGTATTCCAAGATGATGATGATGATAGATAATCTACTTCAATAAATTCTTTTGTAACGACCCTCAATCAATTTTTTCATATATACTTTACATCTTGATTTTCAATATTCTTTTCCATTGAATCAGCATTGGAAAACATTTGGTGCCCAAAAGTCATTGGGCTATCAGGAATTGGTGGAACCTCAATGTCCCCTTCTAACATCTTCAAAGCATCCAAAATTGTTGGCCTAGAATCAACCATTACATGAGAACAAAGAATTCCAACACCCAAATATCTTCCCAATATGTTTCTAGCAGAATTTCCATCTGTTATGATAGAAGAATCCAAAGCCTTTTCTAAGTTTCCAGATTTCATTAATGACCAAACCCAATCTGTGATTAAGAAAGTTGGTATTCCTGATGAAGACAACTCAAGAGCTTTTCTTCCACACATTATCTCCAAAACAACCACACCAAAGCTATACACATCACACTTCTCAGTTAGATGACCATAAAGTGCATATTCTGGGGCTACATATCCACGAGTTCCAGCCACTCTAGTGTTTACCTGAGACCTACTTTCACTGCTTTGTTTTGCTAGCCCAAAATCTGCAACTTTTGCCCTCATATCTGCATCAAGCAGTATATTGGTGGCTTTGATATCTCTGTGATAAATTGCAGGTTTAACTCCAAAGTGCAAATAAACCAACGCATTTGCCACATCCAAGATTATGCTTCTTCTTTGAGACCAAGTTAGCGATTTTGGAAAGAGATGATCTTCAAGGCTACCATTTGGCATATAATCATGAACAAGGTACCTTTTTCTGTAATCAGGATTTTCATCCTCCTCATCAACCACACAACACCCTCGTAATGGCACTAGATTGCGGTGCTTCAAGTTGCTTATAATCTCCACCTCGCTATAGAACTCAGCATCTCCTTGAAAATCAGATTCTTCAATTTTTTTAACTGCAACCATGGTGCCATCAGATAGAATACCCTTGTAAACTATCCCAAACCCACCTTTACCAATGATGTTCTGGGGTGAAAAATTGTTGGTAGCCTTCTCAAGGTCCTCAAACTTGAACCAAATTGATGTGTTTGGTCTCAATCTTGGGCCTGAAGTTTGTTCCATTGGTTCAGCATAGGCTGGCAAATTTTCAATATTTTTTCTTTTCACCCACCTGGTGTACCAAAAATAAAATCCTAACAAAGAAAACGTGATACCTAGGAATGCAACAAAAGCTGCAATTAACCCGTATACAAGAGCATGATGGCTCTTTCTTCTTGAACCCACTTGGGAATTAATAGGCAATTCAAAAATGCAAGACATAGCACCTCTGCTTTCAGGTCCAAGCTGATTCACAATTCCAGCAACATAAATTATTGTGAAATAGAAGCAGCCTTTGGAATGTGAAGTATTACCATCAATGGAATTCAGCATCTGTACAACCTTGAGTCCTTCATCCACACATGCAGCACAATTGGTAAGATCACTAAGGTCTGGTTTACATGCAGTGTTTAACAGCGGTGTAGGACCAAGCCTACTTTGCCAATCTTGCTTATATTGAATATGAGCACAGATATTGGGAGTGATGACAAATTGAAGAGGATCAAAGCAAGAGGACACAATGTTATTGGGAAGTGAAAGGGAAGTGAGTTTGGATTGGAAATCTTGAAGGCAAGATGTAGAGGTAGTGATGTTAGGAAGTTGGAAAAGAGAGTTTTTCTTGAGATTTTCTGCAAGTGCTATGCCAAAGAGAGATAACAGTGCTTGGCAACAAAGAGTGTTGTGTGTTTGGTTTTGGGTTGGCAAGGGTTGGAAGTTAAGGCAACTAGAGGAGTTCCAAGGGACTGTTAGCACATAATTCATGTCCACTGGGCACATAGCATAGTTGGTAGGGGAAATGGTGGGAGAGGGTGCTGCTGAGTATAGATTTGGAGCCAGGACTAACATCAGAAGAAGCACAAATGTGGACTTCATATTTATGACTGCTTATGATGTGTTAGAAGTTTATACACTTTGATCTATTTATGAATGTGGGGGAACTACTGAGCATGTAGATAGAATACTAACAGAGACACTTTCAAAGATATTATAATTATGATTTTCCAGTCACTTTTACTTTCATTCATTTTTTTGTATTTCTTTTATATCACATCATTCATTGTTTTTTTTAAATCTCTTTCATATCCAAAAGTTGAATTTCAAATTATATTCTTTTCATTCATTCGTAAATATATAGACATATAAATATGAATAAAAAATTTAACAACGTAGACGGTTGGTATATTCATTTATAGTTTCAGATAAAATCTTTCTTGACGTTTAGTATGACAGTATATGATCAGTTTAGTCTTATTTAAAATTAATCTTAATATCGTACTTACACAAACTTCTCTCTTATTATGTAATATACTCAATTTTTAAAAGAATACGTAAACAATTTAAATCTTTGAAATCGATATATTATTCTCAAAAGTATAACGTGCTTATTTTTCACAATAAATATTTCAACAAGTTGTACTTGAAATTTGTTAAAATACTTTAAAAAAACGTAACTTCTTACGTGGGAGTATATTAGCTATCTCTATTTGCTTAACCCGTATAGGCTGCAGTAGAATTGATTGAGGTCATTGAAAGGAACCCATTGATTGAAAAACGAATAACGGTACTGATTGTCCATTTAAACAATAACTTCAAAACAATGACCGAGTAAAGTTGTTGTCTCGTTGCTGAGTCTGCATATAATTTCTCTAGAATATCCCTGGGTCTTGGTCTTCCATCACAGATCAGAACTTCTTCCTAGACTTTATTATTCCAACACGCCAAAGTAAATACGAATTTGACTTCATAATAAAATTGGGTCTCCCTATCAACTCAGCAACCCTTTTAAAGAGAGAAACCAGAAAATCTTAATAAAGTCAGATCTACCTGTACCAGCAACAAAATGGCGATGCCCTAAAGCAATGGAGAAAAAAAATTATGAAGGGAGGAGACAATAATCTAACCAAAATGTCACCAATTGAGCAACGACCTGAATCAAAGGAACCAAACCGAAATGACCTATAGAAGCTAGGTTAAAATAATAAGGGTAAAATTCATATTCTATGAGATTTTAAAAAAAAAAAATTGATAATCTTTCTATTTTCCCAAATAAACTTCCAATTTATATAAAAAATAATATAGTATATCTTTATTTAATAACATATGCCTTTCTTATTTTTTTACAAAATTATATAAATTAAAAAAGGTTAAAGAAATATCTAATTGATGAGAACATTACAGCTTCTTTAAAACGAGATCTGGAATTCTTAATTAATGAGAAGAAACACCTTTGGTTTATTTAGACATGACAATTGGTAAATGACTATTGAGACTCCTATGATGAATGGACTCAAGCTACTTCATTCCAAGTCCTGATAGGTGGGGAAAAAAGACTTGTTCTTTCAAGAATATATGCCCTTGCTACGACAAGGTTACTCAAGGTCAAGCATGCAGAACTCTTAACAATAAGTGGAACAAGAGGTGAACACCAAGAAATGAACATGAAGAAGCTGCCAATCTTATCCAAGATTGGTTCTATTAATCATGGTTGTGTGAAGATACACTAATTTGGACAAAAATGATAGAAGGCTACTACTACCCAACATGATAATACAATTTAAAATTTACTAGTATTATGCACACATTTTTCACTTCTATCAGACAACATTAATAATCACCACCACACTAAGCACAATAACATGCCCAAAGAATTCAAGAGGTTGAACTACTAGATGGTGGGCGCTGATGAGAAAGAAAAGGTACTTCCACCACTGTTCCAATGATGTTGTCTCCAACAATTACAGTGTCTCCTTCCAAAGCAGATTGCCTCTTGATGTAGCCTAATCCAAAGTGTTCAGTTTGTTTCCTTCCAGATGCATAACTAGTCAACTTTCCAACCTGCACCATTCACAAAAATCCATCAATTTTCGTCCACCCCATTCTAGGGGTAAATTAGGATTACAGAATGAAGCCAACATCACAAGCACTAATGCTATTGACACAGCCAAAATTATGTAAGTAGTTATCCATATCTTTGACAAGACGGTTTCTCCAAAAAAAAATGTTGAGTTTTCACCCAGTATTTGTCATCTTCAATTTCAACTGGGAATTACGATGTGCAAACATCCATCTTCTTTTTAACCAAAGAAGCGATAAGGTTTGAAAACAAAAAATAGAATAGTGAACATCCTTCATAAGAAAATTTTATGTAGTACCTTTTTCCCATCAACTGTAATAATGCTGCCAGGTTCTGCAGCTGCAGAAAGACGAAATCCCCATAACCTCTGTTTGACTCCATCATATGTTATGAGCCTCGATATAGTCTCTTGTCCTTTGTAACAACCTGAGAAGATCAGAATTAGACTAACTATCAGGCAAGTCTCAATATTTTATGCAGATATGTAATGACAAATAAGCAGTGTACACACCTTTATTTAGAGAAACTGAGTTCCACAGACAGGCCTCCAGGACATTGAATTCTTTTGTGAGCTCCATTCCAGGAGCAGGCCTTCCTGAGAAGTCAAGTTATGATCAAAAGCAGACAAAAGAATCATAGTGAATGAAACTATATACATATGGCACTAATCAAATACATAAAATAACTAATTACATATTAATTAGATGTCATTAACACCGATATGATATAGACCCTCTGATGCTAAGGTACATGCTGCTATGAAGGGGGTGGGATGTAGTGGATCAGGGGCTCCAGTGCCATAACAGAATGGGAATGACTAAGGTGACAAACTGTAAAGTATGGAAGTCAAGGGATTTGAAAGGGAATTCAGTTAATATAAAAGAAGGAAAATAGGGGGCACGAAATGAGTGGATAAAAAGGTCGGTGGGAGAAAACTGAGCCTCTTGAGTGTCCTGGGTTCTTAGGTTATCTCTGCATTTTTCATCGTAAATTCCATCTTCCAGCTACTGATATCAAACTGTTATTGGTTTCTGCAATTAAATAATATAGCATACATACCTTATTTCCTTTTAGTCCAATCCAGTTTCTATCAAATACATAAAAACACTAAATAATTGGTATACACAAATGGTATATATCCTTACAAAAATAAAAGGAAACAAGCACAAGATATAGATAGAGAAATATGCATGTAATCTAAGCAATTTAGCACCTCGAATAACCCGTAATTTATTCCACGAATTAGAACCCATTGGGATAGCCCCTTGTGCAAGCATAGCTTTCCAGACAGATGGAGCAGCCATTGGAGACATCAATAATGAAAACCCATCTTCAGAAATGAGATTTCCCACCCCTATAGTTACAGGCTGCTTTTCAACCTACAAATTAAAAACATATTTGAGAAATTTCCTTACAAGAAAATTACAGATTAGGTAGGTTTATAAGCTTTTCAACAAAGGGAAAAACAATTAAAAAAAGGGCATACTAACATTTGATATTGCTATTGAAGCTTGAAACTTTACTAATTAAGGTAAATTTAATTCAATATAAATTTGGAAGTTATGTAAAAGATGCAACAATGGAACTAGGTGCCAAAACAAAAGTCATAATTTGTTATTCAAAGTTACTGAAAAGGTAAACAACCAAGATATGCATTTCTCTCAGTAAGAAAGTTATCTAGAAGGATCAAATACATGAAGCTAAAAAACCAGCGCATATGACATCAATGAGCATGTAAGGTGTTTTTGACAAAATTAGACAGGTAAAGGCAGATATAACTATGCATTCATCATCAAATATACATGACCCAGTTATATCTTGTAGTGAGATACTGGTAATATAATTGACAACTACTAATTAGTCATGTACTTCACAAAAAATAATCAGTTCGGTAAAGCTTACGTTAAAATGTTGATGTGTGCCATATGGTTTTCCAACAAGACCACCAAGGTTCAGGTTCTCCATCAGCTGTTCATTTCATTATAATGAAAATTACCAGTTGTGTCTTTCTCAACATTAAATAGGTATAGTAGGTATAGTATGACTCTTACTTGGCCACTTTTGGGTCCCACCAAAACAAAAAAGCTGGTTTGCTTAGTGATGTCTCGAATCTCTACCTTATCAGCAAAGAATATGTACCTGAAAATTATTACACGCAAAATATTTAGTTTATGCATTTGATAATATTCATCAGGAAAGGCAACTATTTTTTTTCTCTCTTTATCATTTTATTAGTTTAACCTTTGTGGGTAAATTCTTACATTACAACAAACAAGCTACCTACTTGTTCAGCATTTCAGTAATGGTTCTACAAGTTTCTGGTGAGACCACTAATGTTATTGCACTTTTCTGTCAAAGAAACAAGAGAAAGTGGTCAGCTAAAACAAAATTAAGTTATTATTAAATTGTAAAAAAGACAACAGCAAACGAATTTTGTGAGAAGGATGAAGAAATAAAATTACCATGACCCATGCATGAGCAATATCTATTGTTCGAGCTGTTGGTGTTACAAAAACAGTGTCACATCCCTAGGGATTTCAGTTAGAGATCCTATTACTTAATCCTGTATTATAATATGAAATATAAAAATAAATTGACAAGAACCTGCAAAAAATACTAATGCAGTAAAACAATAATAATGTTCTTCCAACACATACCTGTCCTTCACGAAGACATTCAAAGTTTGCAGTACTCTGGTTGTGAAGGAACTGAATGCGATCTTCTCCACTAACTTCATTATAGATGAACCAATTTTTTTTTTAATTAAAAATTAAGAAAACATCAAACCATGGCAAAGACCAACTCTCTAAGTAGCTTAAGCAGTAAGGTTAAGGATTATGATTGGATATATATCTCTAACGTGCCCATTCACATGAGAGCTCATTGGGCTTAAAGCGTGGACAATGTACAAACCCACCCTATCTTGTGCTAAAATTCAACGTCTCTTGGAGACTGTGGTACCATGTTAAGGACCAATTCTTCCAATAGCTTAAGCTACTAAATTTAAATGGAGGCCCAATGATTGATTTAATATCTCTAACAAACCATAATAATAACCCAGTGCTCACTTGATTAACAGGTAACTAAATAATTACCATACTGATCATAAGAGAAAAATAAAAGGATCAAAACTACAGCCGCTGCTAATCGCTAGCAAGTGATAAAAATTTGGCAAAATGAACTTGTGTTTTATTTGAATAAGAATCGGCTGTTGTAACAGTGTAACACACAAAGTAAAGCACACAACGTGTATGAAATGTTTAATGAGCATTGGAATTATTTAACCACCTTCTACTATAGCACAAGCACACACCAAGGCAGTAACTAGTGAATTTTAAAATCACAAAATACACAAACATATATGGTACATCTGCTCAGTAAAAAAAACGAACCAAATGAGTAGCTCATGCTTTCCCATCTTAAAATTTACTATGAGCTAATCCATATCAATTTCGAAAAGCTATCATTCTTACATGGGGAGACAATAGCATAGAAAAAGCAAATACCTCTTATCCGACCAAAGTGTGAAAGGTCCACAACCTACGCCAAAGGATGTGACAGAGAATTAAATTGAGTAAACTAAATAAAGCAAAATAGTAATGTAAAAACAGGCAAACATACGGCAACCCCATTGTGAACAGCATCAAGTGCTTCATCATCATTATGAAATGTCAGAATGATTCCTTCCCGAGAAACGTCAGCGCCTGCAGTTCTAACAGTATCCTGCAACGAGTGAAAACATGTGCTTATCTTGTGTTTTCTGGAGCAATATCATATTGAATATTACCAGCAAATCATGGTCGATGGGAGGAGGAGAGAGGTCAAACTCCAAAGGTGAGGGCTCAGCATAAATGGACCAGAAAGACATTGTTTCCTTCTTTGTCAGTTGGTGGGACCAAAACGCAACGTTTCGGGGTTCGCCCAATACACAGGCACGCCGTGTTAATGCTTGGTTTCCAGGGCTCAGGCTGAAGCTCATCCTCATGCTAGTTGCTAGTGACATAGTTGTCATTTCGGATTGGATAATTCGCAGCAATCTCTCTCTCTCACACACGCTCTTCTCTGTTTCGAATTTGAGGGGAATGCTTTGAAAGTCGAATGAATCAAAATTCCAGAGACAAACGACAATTCATTGATAATCCCAATCGGTAAAATTTAGGATTTTCATCCGTTCATTTTGATTTTCCCCTCTAACATTTTTCTATTTAATATAACTTTTTTTTTTTAACTTCTGGTTTTAATTGCATTAGTACTTTTGTTATAATGCTATTCAATTTCACCTAAAAAATTCATTGAAAGTTAAATTTCTTTTATGTAAGAACATCCCGGGTTATTTTAATTCATTTAATTTTATACCTACATGTTACAAAATATTACAATTTTATGATAAAAAAAAATTAAAGATACGAATTTACCTTCTTCTTTTTTTAAGGAAAACTAAATCATAAAAAATATTATTTAATTCTTATTTTAACTAATCGATTTTTTGAGACATTAATTGTAATTCAACGTGTAGAGAAATTTCTCAACTCTAACAATTATTAAAAAAAAAACAATGAAGAGTGTTCAAACTTAAGATTTGCAGAAGAAAAGTGATTAGTGATACCTACATTTTGATATCTTATTTTTGCAGAAGAAAATCGTTCCCTCGATTTCAATAATTATAACAATAAAAACATTGACAGATACAAATATATATATATATATATATATATATATATTAAAAGATTAAATTAAAGTTTTTAAAAAAATAGAAGAAACATCTGTTATTAAAAGATTGCTGGTATTCTTTAATTTCCAAGATATGAAAATATAAACATTGTAACGAGATTATGACAAAAAAGATCTCGTTTCTCAAATGATTTATTTTAGTCTTGATTTTGCTATTTACTTTTAGCCCTTCAGCGTGAAACATTTATAAAGACAAAAATAGTATGATATTCAATAGCCATCAAAACAAAATAAATAATATACTATTACCTTTTATTTTTATGAACTTTGCAATTTTTTTAAATCTACTTGAATTTCATTTAATTTAGATAGAATTATGTGAATCAATTAACTGACTAAAACCGTTCAATTTATTTTCAAAACTAACTAACATTCTTCTAGAGAAAGAAAACTCCTTTTATTTTAGTTTTCTGTGAGCCTAAGTTAGTGAAATTAACTTACCATGATGCATTAGTCTAATATAAAGAATGTTATTGTCATGAAAGAAGAAAAAGTAAAATAAAAAAAACAAATTAATATAATTCAGTCAATGTGACCTCCAGCACAAAAAGATTAAGATATTTTTATTATTATAATTTGTTTATACTACTTTCTACTACACTAAAGAAATGCAATTTTCCATCTTTTAAAGTTTGTATACATATTTACTCATAACTTGGTATAATAATTTATAATTCCTTATTACAACCTATTAAAATAATAACTGCTGAATTCAAGTGACGAGCAAGATTGAGTCATTTACAAATTCAAGAAATTTCAACAGTTATATTCATACATTTAATGATAAATAAAATAAAGTGAAATGAAATAAAATATAGTATAATCAAATAGAATGGATAACTAGTTTATGCATTACGAGCACATTTTCATTCGTCTAGTGGCATGATCCAAAAGCAAACCATCGCAGGACACATCCAACTATCGGGCTAGGCATGGAAGAAGCGTGAGGGAGACACTTTACGCGCTATACAGAATCCAGCTCTGCAGCAAGATGGTGATGTCACTAAGACGTTGATGCACCATAATTCTTCCAGAATGTTGATGCTAACATACTCAACTTTACAAGTCTAGTACATAAACGGGATCCAAAATGTCAAATTAATCTCCTTTAGTAGCCCTGACTCTTTGGCCCAGATTCAATGACACGTGCAATAGAGTTTGCATACTTGTGAAACTGCAAGAATGCCGGCACAATAATTCAATTATTTCTCATTCACTATCACAATAAGCAAAGCACGGATCGTCATACAAAATTTGCAATCAACACGGCAGTGTTAAGAGAAAGGATTCAAGCTAGTCCAGCAAAAAATTAAACAGAAAAAAATAGAATCTACTGAAAGTTGTTGCCGATATAGGCCAACTTCGGAAACTTTAGTTTTAATTTTAATTTTTCTTTCATGGGGGAAGTATGAGTGCAATTTGAAGCTTTTTAAAAATTAAAATAAGCAGGGTGATTAGACCACAGATCACCAAAATATGATAAACGGCCATGTACCTCTTCAACTATCTCTTCACATTTCCTACCTAACCGTTCCACTTTCACTGCTCCAGATTCTTTTACTGATGTAATTTTACTATTTATGGCATCCACCTATAAAATACAGACAAAAAATAAAAATTTATTCTTTCAACAAATTTTCTTGATTCATGAAACTTGAGAAGTAGTACCTCAGATAGCATAGCCTCAACGTTTCTCTGTCTTGTTTCTGTAGCACATCTCTTAGATTCCACTTCTGATTTTTTATTAATTAAGTATTGAGTTGCTTCTTCCCGCGTATGATTGCATTCTTTCTCCAACTGCTCCCTAAATTCTTCCAACTGCTTAACTGAGGAAGGGAAAACAAGTACAGAAGGTTGAAGGTAAAGCACAACATATCTGTATACTTTAAAGGCAGTGCTATATAACTGAGTTTTTGACAAAAATCATTAAAAAATAATGTGGCATATAATGCATTTCAGCCAGAAAATGCTACCGAAAAAAAATAAAAGGAAAAGTAAATTATTGGACAAAAATATACCTGGTCATTAACAGTTTTTGTAGAATATGTATTGTAAGAATTATCATTAGTCATGCTTAAAATTACTATCTGGGAATAGAGACACAGCCTTGCTTGCACAAGAACTTACCTTTACTTTGTCTTTCAACCAATTTGGCTTCAAGTGACTTCTCCAATACTTCTTCATCACTAAGTTTAGCTTTTAATGCTTTAAGGTCCTTTTCAATAGATTTAGCAGAATTTACCTATAGGAGGCATAATTGGCATCAAACAAGAGGCTTTGCATGGTAATAATCTTTGAATGATTGAGAAGAAAAAGTCCATAATAGATCTTATATCTCAAACACGTCCAATTATGAGCCCGATGCAAATAAAAACTACCAATAAGAAAATGCTTCCGTGTCCACGTCCAGTTATGATAAATACCAGAGCAGATGCCAACTGACCAGAGTATTTTTATACCTGCTCTTGGATACCCTGCATCAAATTGTAGTGCTTTGACATTTTCTTGTAAACCTGGGAAAAAAAAAGTAAAGTAATCTCAATTCAAAAACAGAACATTATGAAATTGGTCATGCTTTACTGCTGCATTATTGTAGTTTTTTTTTAAAATGATCAGAAGATCAGTGCATAAATTACCCATGTTGATGATTGAACATTGTAGTTTACTGTTTTTTTTATTGTAGTTTGCTTTAAATGAACAATCTCAACGGCAAATTCCTTAATGCAGTTTAGGCACTCCAGTTAGTCAATCTATGTTGATGTTTGTTATTTAAGTCACATTGCAACGGACAATTCAGCTTACATAAGCCAAACCCAGCTCCAGCAGTAGTACCAGTTAATTGGTACTGAGTTGATAGAGGTGCAATACAACTCAATAGGTTAACAATTCACACAAGTTGAATTGCGTTGCAAGTTACTACTGCATCCTAGAGTAATTATTTCTTAATTCATGTAGAAATTCATTATCATGATAGTCAAATATAAGTGTAATAACATTGGTAGATTACTATATTACATTACCATGACCTAAAATGAAGATGAAGGGGAAAAAAAGACAGTTTGTGACAAAATACCTTGGAATAAACTTCAACAAGGGAAGTCTTTTCATGGAAAGTTTGCATTGCTAATCTTTCAGCATTCCTTGCCTCCTCTCGAGCTAATTTCTTTTCCTCTAAAGCCCTCTTCGTGCCAAATTAGAGGATCAAATTTATTAGAATGAGCAGAGAAAAAATCCTAGAACTTTCTGCACAGCAAAAATATCTAAACCAAGCATGCAGTTTTAGTTCAATTTGGCAAGAATAAAGCATTTCCCATATAAATTCGCACAAGCATTTCCTTCCCACTATGAATTAAAGGAGAAGACCTGCCAATCATTTCCAAAACTAGTATCCAATCATAATGCGGAACCAACAAAAAAGCAAGGTTGTCAAACACAAGCAGATAGGATAGAGAAATGCAAAGTACACCATGTTTTTGGAGTTAAGGACAAAAAACCAATTAACTTTGGTTATTATGCCTACAATACAATGGCATAATAAAAAACATGAATGAATTTGATTTGCAAGCAATTCTAATGACTGGGAAGAATAAATAAAAAAATACCTGTACTTTATCGGGAGATTGAGCAATTTTTGAACGTAGACTTGCATTCTCTTGAACAGTTTGTACCAGTGCAAATTGAGCATTTGAAATCTAGGATAAGAAAAGGAAAAAAAGATGAGAAAGAAAAAATAAATCTATGCACAAAGTAGTCAAACTTTCAAGGGGAACAGGTTTGATGTAAGTAGACCAACAATGGAATCTCAATCATTAAGCTGAGAGAAGAGAAAGCAACAGGCAGACCACAATGTAATATGCAAAAGGTAAAGACCTACAGCCAGAACTCACTAAAATCAAAGCCATGTCAGTGTCTACACAAATAAAGAAACACAAATATCCAACACAATATAATTGATTTGCTTAAGCTTTAATTGCTGATTGTTACAAGCAGAAAAAGAACACCGAGTCTGCCAAACACTACAACCTGCAATTTACTTACAAGCTACACTATCCAAAGTTCCAACTTGTAAGTCTATGCGAATAGTTTACAAAACCTTTTACTCTCCACCGTGTTTCTTTCATAAACTATCCAAAATCCCCAATATCAAGACAAAAAATTCAACAACTCAATACACTTATAACAGACAATTGCTGACCTTCACATCCATTTCCCCGGTCTTCTCCTTCAACTTCCTCGAGGTAGCCCTCACCGACATCTGACTGTTGTTCAGCGCCGCAATCGTTTGATGCAGCTCTTTAACCTTCGCTTCCACCTCCTGAACAAGAAGCATCTCCCTTTCCTTGGCTTCATTGCATTCAGAAATCTCCGCTTTCAACTGCAACAAAAACACTCAGTGAAATTTTCAGTAAAAAAATCCAAAACGATTTCGAGAATTCCAATAGAAACCTGCAGAATCTTATTCTCCTCCAACTCCGCTCGCTGCTCCTCTAGAGCGTTGACTTCTTCCACAAATTCGGAGACAGAATTCATCCTGGCCTCCCTATCGAGACAGAAATTGAGAAGAGCACCAAGGAAAAGCTCGGTTCTGTTAGAATCAGGCATGAGAAGATCATGGAAGGTGAATTTCCGAGGGCACTCGAGCGAGGTGAGAACCTCCTTGATCTTGTTGTAGAGTTTGATGGCACGAACAGAATCGAGGTGGAAATCGGGGTTTTCGAGCTGCTCTAGGGCATCGAACTCAAGCTGCTCGCCGTCTTCCCTGCGGAAAGTGAACAAAAGAGATTGGTGAGTGAGGAATGTAGGGTTGAGGAGAAGAGGGAGAGAGAGAGAGAGAGAGACTCGAGGAGGAAATCGAGGTGAATGAGGACGCGAGTGTAGATGTCGAAAATCAAGTCAGGGTTAGGGTGGATGAGGTCTTGCTCGGTGACGTTAGCAATCTGAAACTGCGCAAGGATTGCTGCTATTTCTGGCCGCCGTAGCCTTGGGTACTCGTAATTCGACGCCGCCATCTTCTTCCCCAGAGACACCGCCGGAAGAGACCACACCCCAAACCCAAAATTTAACTTAACTAAATACACTATTTTCCCGCCCACCACCTTCCCCCGGATAACCCCTATCTTTCGCTCATGTGAAGTTTCAACTCTATATTTTCATTTTTCATTATATTTAATTTGTATGTTATTTATTAATTATAATTATTTTTAAATTAAACATTCAAAAATAAATTTTAGTTAATCAATTAATATTTGATTATATTATTAATATATTAACAAAACTAATACGTAATTTTAATTAATTAATTAATTAATTAAATTTATAAAAGTTAACGCTTTTATTACTCTTATTTTTATTTTATTATTTTTTATGATAATTAGAATAACGTATAAATAAAAAAATTATAATTATTATATGGTCATCAAATAATGATAATTATAATTATTTTAATATAATTAAATAAATTTTAATTAGGTAATATGTGTATAATTATAAAAAAAATTAAAATATCATACTTTCAACTAAATATTTTTATTGATAGGCGATAGCATTGTTTAATATTCAAATAACATTAATAATTAATAATAAGTAGTTATGATTATAACATCAGAAAGAATAATAATGAGAGGTTAAAAATGTTTTTTTATTATAATTGATGGATATATTTGTTTGTTTAAATTTTTTAAAAATTTAATATAAACAATAACTAATTATGAATTTATGAAATGTTTTACCAAATTTGTTAGTAGAAAAACAGTGAAAGAATGCTAAAATCAACTCCGAGTTACGGATGAATAAGGTGAGTAACTTTGAAACTAAATTTTCATTTCAATAAACGATTGTGTAGAGTCTCAAAATATTGCTAATATGCCATTTCGCTTTCTTTTGAAAAAAAATTTTAATTGATAATGTACAATGGAATTTTGAATTTCTTTTCATTCTTATATAAAATTGTAATGGGAAGTGATGTTTCTGCTGTTGACGAGATTAACACTAACATACATTGTCGCAGGTTTCAAATATTGACCTGTAAGTTGATAATCCCAATAGGTGCATACAATATTCTTCTCTTATATTCATCTTAAAAAAAATAATTTGGAGATTTAAATAAATGAACATATAATCATTCAAATTTTTCTTCAATAAACATCATATTATATAAGTTTATTTAAATTTATAGGTTTAGATGCCTATTAAGTATAATTAAGTGATAGTTTACATAGATGGTCACCTACTAACTGATTATCACCAAGTGTATCATTCCATTTTTTTGGTATTAATTATTATTTTCTTACTTAATGAATTTAATAATTTTACACCATTCCATGTTTTACTTTTCTCATTACTTATTTTCACTTATGGTTCTGCGTTTTGTTGCAATTTTAGTATTAATAACATGTGCATGATAACCTTTTCATTTATTCAAATTTCCCTTTAAAAATTATAACTTAGTACCCAAAAATTTAAATCATCCACTTTAGTTCTTGAATTGTGGGTGATTTTCTAATTGATATTGACTTAAATCGCACAATAATCAAGTTTTATGGTGTTACTTTACAATTTTTTAAGATAACCTTTAAAATAAATTAACCGGGATTATTCTCCATGTATATTGAAAACTTCGATGACTACCTTTTAAAAGTTTAAAGACCGACTCAGTTACTCAAATATTAAGATACTAATTTCCAGTTTTCTTTTATTTTAATAATACATAAAGAATTTTACTATTTACAACTTTTTTTGTATTTTTTATAAAAAAATTCAATGTTAAAAAATGAATTTTTTTATGTTATCAACTATGATATAATGATAAAAAAGGGTTAAAATTTAAATTAAACTAATAGTAAAAATAAGTCAAAATTTGTTATAAAATGTGGCGTACATTAATCATATATATATGAAAATTATTTTATTGTTGAACAAAATTTTTTGTTTATTAAATTTTACATTTTAAAAGATTATTTTTTACTTGTGAAATAAACATATATTTGATAATACAAATTTTAGAGTAAACTCTCACTTCTTTCAAAGTTGAACAAACACGTCTAATTGTATTAAGTTATTATATCTCAAGTTATCACACTTTATATGGATTTAATTTCTTTCTATTGTGGTAGAAATTGGACATTTAGTTCTATTTTTATTTAAGCAAATTGTTTATGTAAAATTAACTTAAGCAAATTTTGTATATTTTCCTTAATTATTTCATTTTCTTTTCCTAGTAACTAACACTTAAGTTATGTTTGTTTTCCATTTTTAAAAGAATTTTCAATAAATTTATATTATATTTAAAAAAAATAAAAACTCTTTTTAAAAGATAAATTAAATATAGCTTTACTTTTCAACCTTTTATAATCAACTCTTTTTTTTTTTTTCTCTCCTATTTAACTATTTTCTTTCCTTCACTTCATATCTAACTCGTCTCTTATTTTTCTCACCCCACTCTATACCGACCCCTCTCTTCTTCATATTTAACTTTTTCACCTTCTTCTCTTTCTATCATCACCTCTCTCCTATTTCTACTCGTTTTCAGTCTCCTCTTCTCCCACACTCAATATCCTTTTTTTCACATGTACAAAATTTACTTAAATTAATTTTATGTAAAAAAAAAGTTATCATTTTTTAAATTTTTGTTTAAGTAACAATAGAATTAGACGTCTAGTTCCTGCCACAACGAGAAAATATCTAAATCCTACCTTACACTTGCTCTTAGATCAAAGATACATGTTTGTATCTACTCTAATAAAACATCTACCATAGTCTAAGTTCTTTTACATGAACTCTATATTTAGTATGATCTATATTAATTCAGCATAATTGTAGCTAGTAGCAAATAATCTTGATTATAACTTTTGGAATAGTCACTAAATTGAACTTAATTACATGGATTTAATTAAAATTTATATTATTTATATATAATTTTATGATGTTATTGTAATACAATGTAAAATAACAGTAACAAAAAAGAGACATTTAAGACAAGATGAACATTCGAGCCATTAGAGTATCATGAAAAATTTGCTAATATATTAATACTTATAATAGCAAAATGAACTTTTTTGGTTTTGAATTTTATTTCTTGATTTATTTGTGATTTACAATAAAAAGATTACAACTTAAGGCTCAAGAGAAAAAGAAGAAGAAGAAAAGAAAACACATTCCAAGCAAATACCGCAGACCATGAATTGATCACACACAGAAAGGGGTTTTTGTTCCCTGATCTTATAGCAACTCTCCTCAGCTCCCTTGCATTATTAGGGACAGCAAATCCTACTAATTAATGACAATACCCAAGTCTTTAAACGGAAGAGGACCTGGCAATAAATCATTAATCTAACCCTATTATTAATTTATAAAGATAGTCTATTCGGTTAACTAAAGTGGGAGATTTGGCGAGGGATACATCATTCTCATTAATCTTTTAAAATAATATAAATATTTTTTTAAAACATTTAATATTAACTTTTAAATAATATGATATTTTTAAGAAATCATAAATAAATTTTTAAAAAGATTATAAAATAAATAATTTTTACAATTATTTCCACTCTGAAGAAGGTCGTTGTTCCCTGACTCTATAGCTACTCTACCCATCTCCCTTACTAATTTAGGGATAGCGTCAATAAATGGGAGTTGGGAGAGATCAAATCCTCTGCCAGAAAATCAACCTAACCCTATTATTACTTTACCCATAATTTTTAATATGATGTGCTATACAAGAAAGATAAACAATAAATAAGAAATGTTCATGACAGCATCAAATTGTTCATATTTCGCACGTTTATGATTTTTAAAACTATTTCTTTCATATTTTTTATTGATTTCGACGTGATATTATATCCAAATCTCTTAAAAATTATAAACACGAAGGGTGAAGATTTGATTGGCCACCATATCTCTTAAAAAACTTGTCAACTAGTAGTAAAGAATTGATAGTAAGATTTAGTATATCTTCATGATCTCATCTTAAATATTTTTGTATATGTCTAATCACCAAATAATTTTAACTGCTAATTAATCACGAAATAATTTTTTAGGTGTTGTTAGTACTATTTAGATATTAAAATATACGTTTTATTTTAAAAAACATTTATATTTAATATTATATAATGAAACTTACATTTTATTGTTATCACTCTTTTCTTTTTATATTAAAAAAAATAGACGCACATTAATAGATCATTTGAAAAATGGACTAATATGTATTAAGGAATACGTTTAAAATCTTCTTCCTAATATTATATGTGAAAAGGATAACATAAAAAAATAATTTAATTAGATATATTAATAATATAAAAAATATACTATTATTCAATATATATATACAAAAATAATTAATTTAAAAATATATTTACTATATATTCTAAATGATTATAATATAAAATCTTATTATTAATAATATATCAAAATTAAATTCATTAAAAATATATATTCTAACATCTAACCTTCTTTAATTTCGTCTAAAAATTAATAACTAAAGTGTGAGTTTTATAAAATCAAAGAATATATTGTCACTTATTTGATGGATTAAAATAAATATTTACTCATTGTAAGAATTAAATTATGATTAGTATGTAATTTTAATTTTGTTAATATTTCTATATGAATTTACTTTTTAAATTGCTGCAATCAAGTAATTTTTTATTAACATTCTTATAAAAAAAAATATAAACTCTTTATTTTATTTTTAAACGTTATGTCACCAAAATTTATTTTTTTATTGCAAACTTGTTACCTCATTTCTTTTTAAAAATTTAGTTTTTATAATTTTCTATTTAAATTCATCCTGAAATGATAATTACTTAAATACAAAATGAAACACACGATGACTTTAAATAAAATATTACTGAAAAGATTTGCTTGTAAGATTTAAAAACTAAGGAGGTTGACACTGAGGGAAAAAGATAGTAAAAGACAAAGATCACATAATAATAATTAAAAAACTAAATCATTCTGAAGGAATATTCTTACAAAAAGCATGCAAAAGAACACGTGGAAATTGCTTTTCACACCACCTGTCCTCGTGTTATTATAATTTAGGGTATGTTTAACTTAAATAACTCCGTATTGAATAATTTTTATTACACAATAAAAGTTTTGTTATAAATTTTATTAAAATAAGTTAAATATATTTTAACAAATTATGAAATTTTTAATAAAATAAAAAATATATTCTATGTTTATATATTAAAAAATTCTAAACACTCCTTTAAATTCGTGCATTCGTACGAGTACTCCTAAAGTTTTTTCCTTTAATTCTTTTAATGCGTTTAAACTCATTTGGTGTTTATTAAAATCTGTGTAGGACATATGATTGTATAGTATAATTCTATAAAAGTTAATCATTAATTCATTCAACGAAACATCCTTTTACAGTAATTAAATTGCTGATGCAAAAAAATGCTAATGTGGCATTTTTTTAAGTAATAAATGAATTTTCATAACAGTTGAAATGCAATAATTTGACAAAAAAGAATAATAAAAATCCCAAATAAATATCAAATTTTATTAAATCCAGTATATTTAAATACTTAATATATATAATAAAATTATTTTAAATAATTAAATTTTTTAAAAATTAAACTAATTATATAAATATTTAAAATGTGTCGCAAAATGATACAATTTTAATAAATTTATACTATTTTTATTGTACAGTCTTAAATTATGTGATGTTTAGGGGAACAAATTTTTTATATTAAGTGGTGTTTAAATTTTTAATAAAAAATAATTTTTATTCTAAATAATATTAAATTTTGTTAATTCCAATTTTGATGATTATATTTTAACATTCAAAAGTAATAAATTTTTATTAAAATATTTATTAAGCTAAAAAATTGAAAGAATAACAAATATTTTATTTATTTAAAAATTAATATTGTTTTTTTTTTAAATCCAGTCGTAAGTGTTACTGTCATTCAAATATTAAAATTTATTTAAAATGTGAGAAAATTTAAAAAAATCACAATCTCATTTCTTAAAAATCTTTAAATTTTGCCAATTTTTTTACTATTAAATATTTAAATTTTATTTATTTGATAAATTTACCATAAAATCTTCTAGTATTTAAATAAAAAATAATATTGAAGATTTAAGTAAAATATAATCAATTGAGATTAGATCTAGAAAATTTAAAAAGTAAAAGTAAAACAGGACAAATAAAAATGCTCATGGATAAAATTTAAAAAAACTAAAATTACATTTAAACTTATATATTAATATTTTATTATTATAAATTTATTCAATAAATACATTAATTATGAAATGGTAACTAAGAAAATATAGTTTTATATCATGTAGAAATAAGAATATACTCCACAATTTAAATTATTATATATATTTTATAAATTTATAATATCATAAAGTGAGAATATATTAGATTTAATTATATTTTTTATTTCTATAAAAAGTAAAAAACTTTAAAATTAATCTTTTAATTGAGATAATACAAATCTACCTCATATTTTTGACTTATTTATATTTAAAAGACTTTTGAATCTCTTATATTTCAAATTAGATAATACTTACAAAATTGTCAAAATAAAAAGAAATATCGTTTCGAAATTAAGAATATTTTTTTATTATTAAAAATCAAACTTAAAGACAAATTTAAATTGAATTTTCTATTATTAAGAAAATAAATTTAAATTGAAGTTTTTATAAGAAAGACAAATTCAAGATGAACTTTTTATAAAGAAAGACAAATTCAAATTGAATTATACTTTTATTGTGAGATATAATTGTTTGAATGTGTAATTGGTTATTAATAAAGTAAAAATAAAAAAAAATATTCTTTTAAGTATTTATTTTTGTCACAGTAATTATATTTTAACTAAATAATTTATTTTAATTACCAACACTTATGCGCACAAAGTCATCTCAAGTGCTTGGAACACCCACTTTGCTCCAAAGGCAAAGAGAGTAATGTGCATTTCCTAGGGTTGTTTCTATTTAATAAAAGGATCCAAATGCACACAACAGTGATGATCAGGATAATAGAGAGAGAACCACACACAGGTTGATAGAAATAGCCATAAAGAAAGAAACATCATCGCTCAGTGGTTGGGCTACGTCGGGTTGAAAAGTGGTGTCCCAGTTCGAGACGAGGAGGAAACAAGTTAAAAGAATTAATATTTTGTAAACATTAACTTTAATAAAATATTCAAACAATGGTGATATAGAAGTGATAAGCCGAAAGCTGAAGGTTTTTTATTCAATTAACTAAGATAAACATTTCAAAAATATTACTCACTAAATTTTAATAATTTTTTTAAACGACTAAAATTTAAAAATGAAAAAAAATTCAAATAATTTTTATAAATTTTAATTAATAGTAAAAAATATTTTAAATAATGAATTTGTACCCCATGCATTGTCGGTCGCCCTAATTAATTGTACAATTATTTTGATGAGTGAGCAGTGCATAAATTTCCTTGATTGCGACGAGATATTTCCATATTTTGTTGTTGTTTTTTTGTTTTAAGTTATACTTTAAAAACAGAGCTTTCCTCTTTACGCCTCTTCGAGTTAGAGTTTATTTTTAATAATTTCATTTAATCTTTATAATTTTATTGAGTTTATTAAATTTTGAAGGAGTGAAGTTAACATTTAATTAAAATAAATATACGTGATTAAGATTAAAAGTGTATTTATACGTGTTTATCCAAAACGAAAGAAAGAATTCAAACTAAAACTTTCAATACTCAAGAGGCATATCTTACATCTATTTATATTGGCCATAACCCTTGGTCTTGGTGTCTCAGCCTGGGCAGTGATGAAACTAAGTCCCCTTATTGCTAAGATCGTTGCTCTGTCTTGATTTCTCTCTTTCCTATAAAAGAAAGACGCGGTTCAGGAAACTCTTCACTGTATTTCTTTCTCCTCTAGATCACAGGTATTATGATATTCATGGTTTTTATGATATTCAATTCGTTGGAAGATAAAGAGATAGGGAACTAATTTATTTGAAATGCGTTTTGTGGCAAAGGGAAAAAGAAATCAATGGAGTTGGACTTGACACCGAAGACAGCAGAAGCATTGTTTGAGGGAGATGGTGGAGGTTACTCCACCTGGTCAAGTTCTCAAATGGCACTTCTGGCAAAGTTCAATGTTGGTGCTGGTCGCCTTCTACTTCACCCCCGTGGTTTCGCTCTTCCTCATTATGCCGATTCATCCAAAGTTGGTTATGTCATTCAAGGTCAGAGCCTCGTGATGTCTCCTTTAGTATAGAATAATCACTCTTACTACTCAATATTTAAAACCCCACTTAAACCGTTATAGTTATTCTAAGAAGATCTCTTAATTATTCTAAAAAAAATACAAATATATCTTTAGATCTTGCTTAAACGGTTAAAATTTTTAAAAAAAATCCACCTAATTACTTTAAATGAACTGATGCTTTTTAAATAACTTTTAGTTTTAATCATTTATGAATAATTGTATAATTTAAATTTAAAATTTATTTATTATATATGTTTCTTCAGTATATGTCTGTGAGATGAATCTAGCGAGAACAATTTTTTTATGAGGATAAAAATGATAAATTTAAACCTTATGATCAAATATAAATATTTAAGATTAATTTTTTTAAATTATATAATCACTTAAAAAATTATACAATTTTAAAAATTATCACATGAATTTTATATTTTTTATTATTTATAACAAAATTTAATAATGAATTTTATTTTTTATGCTGAAACAATACAAGTGACTTCACAGATGATGGTTGATACATAAACATTGACTATTGACTTCAATAGTACATGACTATTCAAGAAGCTATGCTGCTGATAAGAAACTATTTTAGAAATATATCACTGAGAATAGCGTCACTAAACGATAGATCAAAAGTCAAGTCACCGATTGCATCAGATACTTCCTTAACGTTGCCGAATTTCCTTAAACCCAAAATCTCAAACAAAAAGCAAACCTTTTCTAGCAGCTAAAGACCCACCATGTAGAACATTCATATAGTACATGCGCACCTGTTACGTTTTGCTGCCATAAACTCTTTAATTCATTATAGCAACTCCAAAATCATAATCATGTTCTGCAAAATGAAAAATGCCACAATCAACGTTTGATTTGTTCATGTTTATATAAACTAGAGAATTTTAAATAAGGACAAAATTTAAGTGCAATTCTATAGGTATTGCTAGTATTGTTTTCCAATATTTGATGTGAAATTTAATCTCAATAATTGTATAATAGAAATAAGTATAATAACATTAAAGGTTATCGCATATTAAAGTTTAACAACAGCGAACAATATTTATAGTAATATGCATCTAAGTTTTGTCCTTTAAATAATAACTAAACTCTTATTTTATTCAAGAAATTGTGAGAATTGTTGTAAATACTTTTTTAACTTTGAAATATACTTTAATTTTAGGGAGTCCTCACCCAACTATCTATACTTTTGATAACAATAATTTTTTTTAATATTATAAATATCTATCAATTTAGTTTTTAATGTCAATGATCAAATTAACTGAAGTTGTCTAATTTCAGAACCAAATTGAACGAAGTTATTATATTCATGAACTACCTTAATAGATTTGGTTATGTTAGAAATTAAATTAATTGATGATGTCAATTTAAAAGATTAAATGACGGATTGTTAGACAAAATTTATTTATTTGTTATAATACTATAAACTAAATTAGTTGGTAGTGTCAATTTCATATAATAAAGTCCAATAATTTTTTTAATAATTTTAAAACGTTTATATTAATCTCAAATGAAACTTACGGTAAATTAAAATCAATTTTTAAATTACATCGTGGAATTTAACTTAACATTAATAACTATTTAATAGAGTAAACGAACATTCCTGCGCACCAAAGTTAACAATAAAAAGAGGTTGCATTCAACGCACAAAATCCCATCTATTGGAATGCAAACATTTTCTTTATTAGATTAAGAAATTTTGAATCAGTTAAAATGAAATCTATATATTAGCATTAAAGTTGTGTTCTTACACATAAGTATTTAATCCGACGATCGCGGTGTCAAATTTCTTAGGACATTGTTGATTACCGACTCAAATTAATTTTCCTGAATTGCATGGAACACAAGCAGGAACTGATGGCGTAGTTGGGATGATACTCCCTAACAGTGGAAAAGAGGTGGTTTTGAAGCTTAAGCAGGGAGACATCATACCTGTACCAATTGGAGCTGTATCATGGTGGTTCAATGATGGAGACTCTGATCTTATCATTGCTTTTCTTGGGGAGACTTCAAAGGCTTTTATTCCTGGTCAATTCTCCTATTTCTTTCTAACTGGTGCTCAAGGAATTATAGGAAGCTTCTCTACTGAGCTCACTAGTAAAGTATATGCCATGAACAAAAATGAGGTGAACAAGCTCACAAAAAGCCAAACAGGGGTTTTGATCATCAAGCTAGACAAAAACCAACCCATGCCTAAGCCCCAAATGGACCAAACCGAAAAACTAGTCTATAATATAGATGCTGCACGCCCTGGCAACGTTGTCAAACATGTTGGATTAGTCACAACCTTAACGGACAATGGTTTTCCGTTTATTAAGGATGTTGGGTTAAGTGTGATCAAAGTGAAACTTGAACCTTATGCTATGAAGGCACCATCGTACCCAACTAGCCCTACGGTTCAGTTAATTTACATTGCTAGAGGAAGTGGCAAGGTTGAAATTGTGGGCTTGAATGGACAGCGTGCGTTGGACACTCAAGTTAAGGCTGGTCATTTGCTTGTCGTGCCACCATTCTTTGTGGTTGCTGAAATTGCAGGGGAAGAAGGAATGGAGCTTTACTCTATTGTAACAACTACAAAGTAAGTTGTTGGAACTTCATATTATGTGAAAGTGTGACACATTATGAACACTTGGCGTTGGCATGCAATAACATTAGAAAAATGATTGATTAAATAATTTAAATTATATGAAAGCACTAAACAAAATAATTGTACTTGTGCTTTGTGCAGGCCCTTGTTTCAAGACTTGGCTGGCAGAGAATCAGTATGGGGAGTCTTCTCACCCGCATTGCTAGAAGTGGCTCTTAATGTGGATTCGGATTTTGGAAAGCTTTTCATTGCCAAGAACGAGGAAACCACAAATCTTATTCCTCCCCCCAAGAAGGCTTAGATGTTGAAACTTGCTTATGTTGTATGTGTGCGTTCTTTCTGTGTTTTTTCTTAAATTTACCTACATGTTATCTAAACCAGACATTTATGTATTTTAAAGAATAAATGCTTTTTAAGTATTTTCATTCAAACTAATCAAATTTGTTATTAAAAATTAATATTTTTGAACTCGTTATATAGTGGTAAAGAAAATACAGACTAATGGGCGAATCTGAATAGCTTGTCCCCTTATATTTGGTTGAGAGGAAGAGAAAAAAAAATGAAATAGAAAAATTTTAAAGTTTGTTTTTAAAATCTATTTATTTTTAATATTCTCTTTAACTAAACAAACAGATATACTGTTATCCATGGTTTTTTAATTTTATTATCTTTTTTCTCATCCAAGAGAGAAAAAGAAGAGAGTGAAAAATATAATAAAAATAAGCGAAAGAAATATTCTTTAGATGAGTAGAAATAGAAAGAAAATCAATGAAAAATTACTTATTTAAATGAGTAAAAAGTTAGAAAAAAAAATAAAGTATAAAATAGTATTTTATAATAAGCTTATATTTTTTCTTATAGTATTTTTTTTAAAACTATTTTAAAGTTTTAAATATTTATATTATATAAAATTACTTAACAATTAAAAATAATAATCTCGCCATTGCTTTCCCTTACTTCTCTACGATTTGGATATTATCGTAGGCCTCACGATAACCATTTTCCCTGTAAAAATAATTTTTTGAATAAGCCATTAACTTAATTTGTTAAAATTTATATTATTACTGCAAAATTTCTGTAGCAAAATAAATCAAATACTATTTTTAAATATACTCTATCGTCTACTATGTAAATATTAGAGTTAGTAAAGTAAATAATTTATATGATATAAACTTGTTTGATAAAATGTAGGGTATGTGCTTTATTTTAAATTTAAATTAAATTTAGATTAAGTCAGTAAAAGCTTATAAAAAAATAAATTTTATCAAATTTAGACATTATTTTTTGAATTCAAATTATATTTAAACTTTTTATTTAATTTATAAAAATTTGTCATGCACATCAAACAAACACGAATGAATCGAGAAACTTATTTTTATTAGTTTTAATATATATTATTTGATTCATATTAATTTTTTATATTTATTGTACTGGATAAGGGAACTGATGGACCCTACATATAGAAAAAAGGAAACTGAATACCTATTCGGCTAGTCTGAATCAGTATCTCTAAAATTTAAAGATAAATAACAATTAGAATTTTATTCAAATCATGAAAAGGGCCAAAAGTCAAGGTTGACTCAGGCCCATTAGTCCATTATAGTGCCTATAAAAGAAAGGCAAAAAGAGCAGGTAGGGGGTTCACTTTTCATTATTGAATACCATTTATTATTTCGAGTTGAATCCTGACTTCAACATTGGAGTGCCTTTTGCAGGTACCCTCCCACGTTAGCAATTGTCAAAAGGACGCCAGATCAGAGGTTTGAAGACAGCCGTTTCTCTAGAAGGAACATTTTGGCGCCCACCGTGGGGTCCGATTAACTTCATTTTTCAGGATTAAACATGGTAATGACGAGAAGCCAGCAGGAAGGAACCTCTCAGCAACAAATGGAGGGCGTCACACCAGAGGAACTAGTACCTGAAGTGGTGATACAGGGAGGAACAGAGGAAAGCATTCTAGTTGTACTGAGGCAGCTTAAGGCAGAAATGATAGAGATGAAGAAGGAGCGCGAAAGAGATGCACTGGAACTCTCGACCCTAAGAAGGGAAAATGCCGGCTTAAGGGAAGAGATAAGGACACATGTCCCCTCCCAAACTACACCCGTCATCCAAGATCAAGGGGAATCCTCAGCGCTGCAAGAGAAATCAAGGCAAGTCTATCAATCGGCAACCAGAAATGACCAGGATGATCTTGTGAACCAGAGCCCATTCGTTCACCACATTCTGGAGGCTAAGCTGCCCGATAATTGGAGAGGGTTGGCAATAGACAAATACGATGACACATCTGACCCTAGAGAACACGTGGATGTCTTTACAACACAAGTCGGTCTCTATATAGAAAACGACGCCTTATGGTGTAGAATTTTTCCTACTTCACTCCGAGGACCTGCACTCAGTTAGTTCACCCGACTCCCCCCTTTATCCATTGACTCTTTTGTAACTCTCACAAGACGTTTCAACTTGCAGTTTGCCACAAGCCGGCCTCATCCCTTAACATCCTTGGCCTTAGTCAATATTCGCCAAGAGAAAGGAGAATCACTTAGATCGTTCATGAAACGCTTTGGCAAAGTGACTCTTTCAATTCATAACTTGGAACCAGTAGTGGCTATGCACCACCTCACAACAGCGTTAAAGCCAGGACCCTTCGTTAATAGCCTCTGCAAAAAACCCCCCGATTGACCTAGACGAGTTAAGGAGTCAGGCTGCGAAGTATATGCAGATGGAAGAATTATCCAAATACCGGAACCAGGTACGGATGGATCAAGGATCCAACTCAAAAAATGAAGAAAAGAGGGAGGCTTTTAAAACAAGGCAGGGAAACGACAGAAAAAATGAGCTTGAACGACCACCTCGGGGACCTAAGTATCCTTCCTACACTACGCTCAACACTAATCAGTTCAGAGTACTTGATCAAGCGTTGGCCACAGAAATATTGAGAATGCCTAGACACGCCAACACTCCTCCTTGGGCAAATAAAAGTAAGTCTTGCCGATACCATCAGAACAGGGGTCACACTACTGAGGAGTGTACAGCACTGAGAGACAAAATTGAAGAATTAATTAAGGACGGATACTTAAAAGATTTCGTACAGACGAATCCCACAAGGAAACCTAACAAAGGAAGATACTGTCACCTTGAATCACCAAGGAGATCTGACGGCAAAAATTTGAACGACATAGGAGCAGGTATGGGGAACCTCTAGCTAGAAGATATGAGCAAGAGAAGTATCCGAAAAAGGGTCATTAACACCATAGCCAGAGGGTTTGCTGGTGGAGGACCTACCCATTCGGCTAGAAAGAGGCATCTCAAGCATGTCCGTTCGGTTAATAATGTTTCATTGGGCAGCCGAATCCGGATCCCGCCTATTACGTTCACTGACGACGACTTTCAAGGAGTCGATCCGGTGCAGGATGATCCCATGGTAATTAGTGTAAACATTCTTAACTGCACTGTTCGAAAAACACTAATTGACTAGGAGAGCTCGGCCGACATCCTGTATTGGAATACATTTAAGCAATTAGGCATCTCTGAAGAAGAGCTCAAAGAATATCACGAACCGTTGGTCAGTTTTTCCAGGGAATGAGTAGAGACTAAGGGGTGTATTGACTTGTATACCTCGTTTGGATCAGAGCACGAGGGAAAACGCATAAGAGTTACTTATTTTGTAGTACATGCGAACACATCTTATAATATACTACTTGGCAGACCATCCCTGAATAAATTGAAGGCCATAGTGTCCACTCTGCACTTGGCCATGAAATTTTCATCTAAAAGAGGCTGAATTGTTATCGTCCATGCTGATAAAAAAAATAGCCAGGGAATGCTACTTTGCAAGCTTACGCCTTAGACCCTTTCATGAGAATGACCGAAATGTCAATATTGTATCCCCTCGGTTGGAAGAAGAGTTGGATGTTGAACTTGATCCCAGAATGGATGAGGAATATCGGGTTGAGCCTAATGAAAACAAGCAACCCTTCCAACTAGGAGCAAAACCAGAACAAGTTGCTTATTTAGGGGTCGGTTTGAATGCACAAGAAAAGCAAATCCTCCAAGGGATGTTATTAGATAACGTCGATTTGTTTGCTTGGACAGCCTCGGATATGCCTGGCATTGATCCAGCATTTCTTTGTCACCACTTATCGGTCTACAAAGGGGCCAAGCCGGTAGCTCAAAAGAAGAGAAAAATTGGTGGTGATAGAGCAAAGGCAGTAAAAGAAGAAACCAGCAAACTAATACAGGCTGGCTTTATCCGAGAAGTCAGGTATTCAACATGGTTAGCCAACATCGTCATGGTTAACAAAGCCAACGGCAAATGATGAATGTGCACGGACTTCACGGACCTCAATAAAGCATGCCCAAAAGACGCATACCCCCTACCAAACATTGATACCTTGGTCGATGGTGCAGCCAGTCACAAAGTACTGAGTTTTTTGGATGCTTATTCAAGGTATAATCAAATACGAATGTATCCCTCGGATGAGGAAAAAACAACATTCATTACAAATTCTGCAAATTTTTGTTATCGAGTGATGCCGTTCGGTTTGAAGAATGCAGGAGTAACATACCAGCGACTCATGAACAAAATTTTTGAAAAACAAGTGGGTAAATGCATGAGGTATATGTGGACGACATGGTAATTAAATCCTTCGCATTGAAGCAACATCTTGACCACTTAGAGGAGGTATTCGGAGAAGCCAGAAAGCATGGTATGAGGTTCAATCCTGAAAAATGTACATTTGGTGTAGCTGGCGGTAAATTCTTGGGTTTCATGTTGTCTGAAAGGGGGATTGAGGCAAACTCTGACAAATGTAGAGCCATCATCGACATGGCCAGTCCTCGAAATGTCAAGGACGTTCAATGACTGGCCGGGCGGATTGCAGCCCTTGCTAGATTCTTGCCAATAATGGCAGAAAGGTCTCGGCCTTTCATTGAATTATTGAAGAAATCCCAAAAATTCGCTCGGTCCAATGAATGTGAGGATGCCTTTGTACAATACAAACATGTGCTAGCGGCGCCACCTGTGTTAATTAAACCAAAACCAAATCAGGAGATGGTTGTTTATTTGGCCGTGTCCGATCATGCCATCAGTTTGGTTTTACTTCAAGAAACACCTGAACCGAATCCCGTATATTTCGTTAGCAGGACACTCCAAGGTCCCGAATCCTGGTATTAATTAATGGAGAAAGTAGTACTTGCCCTAGTCCACACAGCTCGTCGGTTAAGACACTACTTTCAGAGCCATCGGATGGTGGTACGTACAGATTGTTCGATAGCCAAAATTTTGAGGAAACCAGAGTTGGC